TCTTTCGACATGTGCAAACAGGGGGGTTCGACAAAGTGTGTCGAAAGTAAATTCGAGCAGATTTTTCAATATGGCGGCGGTCAAAGTTAGACCAAGAAATCAGATAGTCTAAACGGACCTTAAGAGATTTTTGACATGTGAAACCATGATTTATTCTGTCTTGATCTTCCAAACAGAGTTGAACTCAAACATATTATCAAAATGATATGTTGTTTTTGAAAGCATATTGTTATCAAATTTTGATATATCGTTTTATCGAAATAGTATAGAAAGGCTTCTTACTTATATTTATATTCTTGAATTAAAAAAATACTACACAAATACCAAAAAAGAATGTAATATTGATTGACGTAATGCATGCTACTGTATGAATAACTAATGTGATTGCAAAAACCAAATACAATATTACACCCTTGGATATAATTTCTTTTCGCAAATTATGTGTAGAATAAATGCACCAATAGTGGAGGTACTTAAGTGCAATGTGTTGCTATGGTGGCTTATAGAGTCTCCCTAAGCCGCTATAGAAGTACATTACGTTAGTACAATGTACTTCTATAGCGGCTTAGGGAGACTCTATAAGCCACCATAGGAACACATTGCACTAAAGTATCTCCACTATTGGTGCATTTACTAAACATAAATTGTACAAATTAATATTAAACAACCTATGTGCATCTGTTCTGCAGTAATATTCAATAACTTTTTGCTGTGCCGACTTATAAATACCAACGACCAAGTTTGAACAATCGAAAATAACATAAATCAATAAGTACATAAAAGGGATTCCAGATGGATTAATAGATAAAATAATAATGTGTATAATTTGTATGCACCTGGAATTTTTTTTCATCCGACCTGGAAAAACCTGTAAAACTCAGGGAATTTGATTCCTTGGATTGAGTAGACACCCTGATCCATATTTGTCGTTCATAAGTCGAGTCTTATGAAATTCTTAAGTATATTTGCCTCAGTCGGCAAACTGAAAAAAAAAGATGGCCCTAGATTGGTGTGCGGAGTGACCTACTCTTTGGTTTCTCGTCACTCTCATCGAAGGGCGCATCTAGTTGTGCCTTGTCGATCAGCCTAGATAAAGCATCCGCCACATTTAAATGGTCCGAATTCGCTTCAGGTTGAAGCCTCAACGCCCATGCTTCAGCCCTAGATATAGCACGTTTGATAGCCTTTCTTCCTTGGCCAAAGATGGATTCATTCGCTTCGGAATCGCTCCGAATTGTAAAGGATTTACTTTTATGATATCTTCCGAGAATTCAGATATGTGTCATGCCAAAAAGGTCAGCATTGGACCCTGGAGTTTTTTTCTCTTAAAGTCTACTGAGAATTGCACTCAGAGATACATTTTGCCAAAACAAAGGCATTTTAAACTATTAGATCACGCGTTCAACAAAACTTCCACTTATTGATTGATATTGATTTGTGTTCACACACTAAATGAAAACTATTTAAATGAACTTTTAAAGCGAACGAAAGTTATTTCACTTCACTAGACCAGTTCCATCCATTCTCTACAACCAGAACGCAGCGGATATGAGCATATAAGAACCCACTGAGCCAACCACCGGCAATTTATAATTTTCTTGCTTCTTCCCAGAAAATCCTGGGGATTCTTCTCAGAGTTCCTTTGGGCATTACTTCCCATAAACGCATAACGCAGAGCCTTAATTTTGTTTATGGATGGAATGGATGTTCCGTCGGTGATTGGCACTAGATTGTGGAACAGAGACCGACGTTAAATAAAGGAAAAAGAAGGAATGGATGCCTAAATGCCTCTAATTTGGACCCATCCATAAATTCAGCAATCGACTAAATTTTCAATAGCGACCAAAAATATCCATTAGTACCGTCCCAATCACGCGTTCATCTAGATAAAATTGATAAATAGCCGATTTTAAGCGATGGGCTCAATCTTAGATCCCTAGGCCAATATTAGAGCCATTTCCCCTAACATAATAAATAAAAATCACAGTCAAACTGCTCGTGAACGCATAATTGTTCCATGTGATATGGAGTTTCATTTACACATGGGACAACTATGCTTCCACCGATAGTAAAGCTCCTTAAAAATCTCGAAGCTCCAGAATCTTTCAGAAGATTTCGGTTAGTATCTCTTTTTTTTAAAGAATTTATACCCAACTAGGTATATGTTTAAAAATGAACAAAGTCAAATTGATTTTATAGAAGTTAAACATGTATTTTATATAGAATAACATTCGTCCTTTCAAATTTTGTCACACTTTATTTTTTTATGTTTGCCCCAACCTGGAAAAAGCGTATTTTCATAAGAAAATCGTCAATACAGCGGAGATTCGTTCGCTGGGGTCTCGTTAGTTGGGTGTTCGCTAGTTGGGCCATGACCCAATTAAAATGCATCTGGATGTCAAAATCTCATATCAAAATAGATTTGACAATCAACCATAAACTCTTCCTAGTGGTAAGCATATGCGTTTTGAACTGCGCATTCAATGTAATGTGTGCAAACATATGATACTTGATCGAAACATTTGAATTTAATTTGAAATTCCAGAAGCATATTAAGCACATCAGTCCCGTAACGTGGGTAGATCACCTTTTCGTGGTACGTTACGGGATGTAAGATCTACCACCGATTCCTAGTCCTGACTTCTTCAAACTAGGGGAACAGGATTTTTCAGTAATCAAAGGAACACATCTTAGTCCTTGTTACTTTTTATGCCTTGTTGATAGTGATAAGTCCTCGGGTTGCCTGGACCGAGGATGATCTTGAAACAAGGAAAAAATGAGTTAGTTAGTCTTCACCTATGTGATTCCTAATCTTCTAATCGTTGTTCCCTAGTTTGAAGTGGTTAAGACTAGGGTTCTGATGCATGGTCATTATCGGTGTCATTGCTTGTTTTTCTTGTTAAGGAATCCAATTTTGACTGACAAAGGGGCGCGCCTTTGGAGGGTGTTCCAACTCCGAAGGGTATAAATAGCGGAACCTTTCAGTTAGAATCGATTCCTTGCGATGAAGGCAAGAATGACAACTGTATCAAAACCGAATACTTCATCATTTCTCAATAGTGATGGAGTAATACGACATGCACTAAACTAAGGACACGGGATATACTATAATAGATCAAATTACTGGTCGCAGTGGTCTTATGTCCCGAACAGAGAGGAAAAAAAGCACATCAGTATTTTACTTTTTCTACTAAGTTTCAAGCAATTTGCTTCAATCCGAGTTATTTTTTGTTAAATCTTCTTAACCGCAACAAAGGATACGCTACGCCCCAACAAATTTTAGTCTTCTGTCAGTTGACCCAATTAACGAATCGAATTCGTTAGTTGGGCGGAGGTGGTGGCCCAACCAGCGAGATTCGGTCATGCTAATGGAGCCGCTTTTTTCTTTGCTTGCTTTTTTATTCATGTAGGACGAGGAGTACTCGATTACTTTTTCGAACGGACGTATTAGCTTTTGTTAACAATGCATTTGATCGTCGGTTTAACGTTACTGGTAGTTCACTCACGCATACTAACACTCCTATCTGAGGGTAGTTTTAGAAGGTGCGGGTCTGCTACCAGTTACGCCAAATCGACGATCAAATGCATTTTTACAAAAGCTAATACGTCCCTTGGAAAAAGTAATCGAGAATAGCTCTTGATCGACAAGTCCAGCTCAGCCAAAATTGCGTCATTTAAAGTACCGTAAAACGGGGTATCTTTGATAATGCGGGTAACTTTGATAGTATAATGTAAAGATTAAATTTATTCGCTGCACTTTTTCCAAATTAGAAACATTGGTTCCATATTGTAGCTTAGGGTATTTCCGTTGATATCGTTTATAGTTTTTATAAAGTATGTGTGACATATTTTACAAACATATTAAAAACAATTTTCGTGTTTTTCGCCTGTTTGTAAAAGCACATCACTTTTGAAATGAAATTCCCGATATAGCCATCACAAATTCAATGTTGTATTCTTATTGCTTATGATGTTTTCTGACTATAAACTCATTCAAAATTTCATATATAAAGAACTAAATTGTTTGAGTTTCACCCATTTTTTCTACATTCATCGAGCATTATCAAAGTCACCCCAAATCGAAAAACTGAAGGTCGGTCACAAAACTAAAAAAATAGTGCACATACTTTAATTTCCGTTAAATATATTACAAACGAATTGACTCTTAGATCCTCAGCACTTGTTTTAAAAATATAAAATTTGAAAAACATTCATTGCTGTAAAAATGTGGCGTCGCGTAGCCTCACTTTTTACCTGTGCACCAACTTTCAAAAACAGATTTAATACCATATTCATACTCGAATCGGTTGAAAAATACACTTAATCTTTTAGTTAACTCGAGATCTATCCATTGCAAGCAATATTTTGATAATTGTTTATGTTTTGAGAGTTGGTGCACAGGTAGATTGAGGTTAAGGCGATGCCACTGAAAAATTATATAAAATATACTTTAAAAAACTGTCAATGTTACCCCGTTTTACGGTACTAAAAGTTTTGTGACGACAACTTTGCTGAAAAATGCGAAATAAAAATAAGCGAGCAAACAAAATTTTATAGACACCCTAATTGAGGAAAATTGTTCTAAATTGGTCAATTCAATCGATACGAAAGTTTTTTTTTTAAAGTTGCTCAAAATTAGCTACAACTTTGCCGAAGTATATGTAAACCTATATTTTGCCCAAAAAAATGTTTTTTTTTTTTATTTCAATAGTAATAAGAACCACCCTAGTACAATTTGACACCAAACGAATAACTCAATTGTAAGGAACAATTTTGTAAAAAACACTTTGTTTTTTTCTAAAGTTTTAATTTCATGCTCTAAATGCATCTTTCCTGCTAAATTCTCATTCTGGGCCAATATCCATTGTTGCTACATTGAGCTTCAAATCAATCAAAACATAAATAAATCAAGTAGAATGATCCATCTTGCCCCGCCTACCATGCCAGCGATGTCATTACACCTGTCAGTTTATGAATAATATTCAACCTTATCCTTGCAGGCCCTCCGCGAGAAGGAGAAGGGTGACTGGAAGAAGCTGTCCGTCCAGGAGAAGAAAGCCCTGTACCGTGCGTCGTTCTGCCAGACATTCGCCGAAATCAAGTACCCAACCGGCGAGTGGAAGATGCACCTCGGTTTCGGTCTGATCGCCATGTCGATGAGCGTCATCGCCATGCTGTTGATGAAGGCCTTCGTGTACGATGAGGTGCCAATCACTTTCGACGACGAGCACCAGAAGGCTCAGCTCAAGCGTATGCTGGACCTCCAGGTCGGTTCCGTTACCGGTCTCTCGTCCAAGTGGGACTACGACAACAACAAGTGGAAGTAAACGTCTGTGTCCTCCTGCACTGGTGGTCGTAGGGTATTAGTTGGTAAATGTGTATTATATTAATCCTAAATTGGCATCAACTATAAGCGCACGTCGTCGCAAGCCGCTTTCCAAGATGGCTAAAAAATAAATTATGAAGAAAAATCAAACTTAATATTTGAGAGGGTTCGACCGATGTTTGTTGATTAATTGAGAAATTTGTCCTTGTATTGACTATAGATAGTAACACGAAAAGCACCAGTGTGGACATTAAATCCACATGAACAAACATAACAAGTAGGTATCTACACACTTAAATCCAGTCAGTAAGGTTTTACTGGGTTTTTGAATTGCGGAACTGTTCGGTGAAAGTTTAAAAATCTGCGGGAAATTCAAAAATAAAATCTATTTCGAACTTGTACAGACTTATGTCGTTTTCGTTTTTGCGGTGTAGCTACACCGGTGCTACACCGCCGAACACCGAAAATTTTTAGGGTGTAGCTATCGGTTGCACCTTTGTTTACAAACAAATCCAGAACAACATGTGAAAAGGGCATACAAGCTTTTTGTAAACAAACCTTCTTATGCCCTTTTCTTGCCACCCATATGACACCAACGCAAACCTTTAACATCACCGGGTAGGGGACACTTTCCCCTTCCCGATGATATTGCTGGTTTGCGTGGGCGACCCTCGGTTGGTGAAAAAAGGGCCTACAAAGGTTTGTTTACAAAAAGCTTGTATGCCCTTTTCACATGTTGTTCTGGAAATGATGATGAACTGTCAATGACTCGTGCTTATTGCTGCTTACACTACACCGGTGTAGTGTAGTAAAAACGAAAACGACATTAGTTCTGTCAACTCCATTTGATGATTGAAAATAAAATTTGTCGATTTCTTTGATTCCTTACGGATTCGGTCAAAGTCGGTCAAAGACTTTTTCAGCAATTCAAAAACCCAGTTAAAATACTGACTCCTGTAAAATAATCGAGCAGACAAAAATGCTGTGCCTTCACTTTATTTAGATTACCCAAGAAGTATAAAATCTGTCTGTCTGTCTGTCTGTCTGTCTGTCTGTCTGTCTGTCTGTCTGTCTGTCTGTCTGTCTGTCTGTCTGTCTGTCTGTCTGTCTGTCTGTCTGTCTGTCTGTCTGTCTGTCTGTCTGTCTGTCTGTCTGTCTGTCTGTCTGTCTGTCTGTCTGTCTGTCTGTCTGTCTGTCTGTCTGTCTGTCTGTCTGTCTGTCTGTCTGTCTGTCTGTCTGTCTGTCTGTCTGTCTGTCTGTCTGTCTGTCTGTCTGTCTGTCTGTCTGTCTGTCTGTCTGTCTGTCTGTCTGTCTGTCTGTCTGTCTGTCTGTCTGTCTGTCTGTCTGTCTGTCTGTCTGTCTGTCTGTCTGTCTGTCTGTCTGTCTGTCTGTCTGTCTGTCTGTCTGTCTGTCTGTCTGTCTGTCTGTCTGTCTGTCTGTCTGTCTGTCTGTCTGTCTGTCTGTCTGTCTGTCTGTCTGTCTGTCTGTCTGTCTGTCTGTCTGTCTGTCTGTCTGTCTGTCTGTCTGTCTGTCTGTCTGTCTGTCTGTCTGTCTGTCTGTCTGTCTGTCTGTCTGTCTGTCTGTCTGTCTGTCTGTCTGTCTGTCTGTCTGTCTGTCTGTCTGTCTGTCTGTCTGTCTGTCTGTCTGTCTGTCTGTCTGTCTGTCTGTCTGTCTGTCTGTCTGTCTGTCTGTCTGTCTGTCTGTCTGTCTGTCTGTCTGTCTGTCTGTCTGTCTGTCTGTCTGTCTGTCTGTCTGTCTGTCTGTCTGTCTGTCTGTCTGTCTGTCTGTCTGTCTGTCTGTCTGTCTGTCTGTCTGTCTGTCTGTCTGTCTGTCTGTCTGTCTGTCTGTCTGTCTGTCTGTCTGTCTGTCTGTCTGTCTGTCTGTCTGTCTGTCTGTCTGTCTGTCTGTCTGTCTGTCTGTCTGTCTGTCTGTCTGTCTGTCTGTCTGTCTGTCTGTCTGTCTGTCTGTCTGTCTGTCTGTCTGTCTGTCTGTCTGTCTGTCTGTCTGTCTGTCTGTCTGTCTGTCTGTCTGTCTGTCTGTCTGTCTGTCTGTCTGTCTGTCTGTCTGTCTGTCTGTCTGTCTGTCTGTCTGTCTGTCTGTCTGTCTGTCTGTCTGTCTGTCTGTCTGTCTGTCTGTCTGTCTGTCTGTCTGTCTGTCTGTCTGTCTGTCTGTCTGTCTGTCTGTCTGTCTGTCTGTCTGTCTGTCTGTCTGTCTGTCTGTCTGTCTGTCTGTCTGTCTGTCTGTCTGTCTGTCTGTCTGTCTGTCTGTCTGTCTGTCTGTCTGTCTGTCTGTCTGTCTGTCTGTCTGTCTGTCTGTCTGTCTGTCTGTCTGTCTGTCTGTCTGTCTGTCTGTCTGTCTGTCTGTCTGTCTGTCTGTCTGTCTGTCTGTCTGTCTGTCTGTCTGTCTGTCTGTCTGTCTGTCTGTCTGTCTGTCTGTCTGTCTGTCTGTCTGTCTGTCTGTCTGTCTGTCTGTCTGTCTGTCTGTCTGTCTGTCTGTCTGTCTGTCTGTCTGTCTGTCTGTCTGTCTGTCTGTCTGTCTGTCTGTCTGTCTGTCTGTCTGTCTGTCTGTCTGTCTGTCTGTCTGTCTGTCTGTCTGTCTGTCTGTCTGTCTGTCTGTCTGTCTGTCTGTCTGTCTGTCTGTCTGTCTGTCTGTCTGTCTGTCTGTCTGTCTGTCTGTCTGTCTGTCTGTCTGTCTGTCTGTCTGTCTGTCTGTCTGTCTGTCTGTCTGTCTGTCTGTCTGTCTGTCTGTCTGTCTGTCTGTCTGTCTGTCTGTCTGTCTGTCTGTCTGTCTGTCTGTCTGTCTGTCTGTCTGTCTGTCTGTCTGTCTGTCTGTCTGTCTGTCTGTCTGTCTGTCTGTCTGTCTGTCTGTCTGTCTGTCTGTCTGTCTGTCTGTCTGTCTGTCTGTCTGTCTGTCTGTCTGTCTGTCTGTCTGTCTGTCTGTCTGTCTGTCTGTCTGTCTGTCTGAAAATGTATATACAGGGGTTTTTGGGGCCGTGGTTCTTATGATGGTTCGAGACCCCTCCCCCTTCTGTAAGGGGGGGCTCCCATACAAATGAAACAGAAATTTCTGCAGAACTCGAGAACTAATCAAGCAAATGGAACCAAATTAGGCATGTGGGGGCGAGTGTGAGGGTATAAGGAGATAATCATAGGGGGTAGCCCCTTAGATAATAGGGGGAGGGGGGGCTACGTACAATATAGCATGCTTTTTTTTTAAATCGGCGCATAAACTCAAGCTAATATTGAATCACGAGCAAGACCGTACACACTCAGCTAGTATAATCATAAAATCACCATCCAAAGTCCAGCAAACCAGAGAGTGCTAGCTTAATATTGGCAACTCAGATGAAGAATAACATTTGGCATCAGATTATCAGCTTTAATACCGAGCTGCGGTTGTCAGTTGCGTGGATTTTTTTTCCCTGAAACCCAATCCTCAACAAGCGATTAAATGAGGACAAACTCCCCAGAAAAGAAATCTCCACCTTTCGCCTGGGGCGAGACTCGCAATCGGTTCATCCGGTTTTTGCGGTCATCTCCGGATCGAAAGTTTCGCATAAATTTAATTACACATTTAAATGGTTTTTAGCTGTCCCATTTCCCTTCCTTTTGTGGATTCCTTTCTATCACGTTGTTGCGCGGGAAACAACTCCACTCAAACGAACAAGGAACAATTTTTGAAAGCTCGTTTTAGTTACCAACACGGAGAATCCTTTCCCGTTTCCAGCACCGACGGCGACTTTGGTTGGTTTGCGACGGCAATAAGAACGTAAGTAAAGTTAAATTGAAATGTACTTTTCCACCCTTCCCGGAACTACCACATCTTCCAGCCAGCAAGGGATGCGATGCGGTTGGTTTGTTGTATTGCAATGTTTTTTTTTCGGAAATTTAATTAAAAAGTTTTGTTTCTATTTAAAACGGCAATGAAAATAAAACGACCGTTTAGTGATTATCTCCAGATTAGCTGCGTGTAAATCGAGGTTAAATCTTAAAGGGGAAATAATTGGAAACGAGGATCCGTGAAGGCATCATATGTGACGCAGTTAACCCTTTCACGTCCAGAGCCACTGAACCAATATGACATATTCCTGTTATGTGGAAGTCTAATACATTTGCGCTATAAGAAAATCCCACGATATGATTGAAAATGTGTCAGGTAAATTCTATATGAATATCTGATACATTTACAATGCTGATAAGTTGGTAACTTTTATGTGATCATCATATGATAAATGAAAATTGGTAAAATTATAAGAATTAACGGAAATGGATTTGAATCCTATAAGAATAAGCTTTACTTTTTACTACAATATCATATACATTAGAAATACTCAGAGGGAGAGATAGGCGGAGAAAGCAAAATATAATTCGGCAGCAGGGATTTGTACCTAAATTATCTTGCAACCCTTAGCATTTCACATGACTTTTATTTTTGATTCGATTTACGTGTAAAATAATAATTGATTGCATCGCAAGATTTTGCACATTTCTTGGTGCCATTCACTAAACAACTAAGATCAATTAATCAATAGAGTTAGAATATTGCTTTTGATTTCAAAAAACTAGTTGAATTTGAAAAGCACACGAAACATAAAGGTGATTGAATTTCTGTTCGATTGCAATACTCTCAAATTTAATCTAGTAAGAATAAGAAATCCTCGGAAAAATCTAATTGGAATGTTCGATTGGCTCAGATTTTGACAGTCCATTTGGCTCAAAACATTCTCTCCGCCCATCTCTCCCTCTGAGTATTTCTATTATACATGTCATAAATCAATCTATTTAAAATTTATATGAAAATCACATGAAATTTACTTATTGCTTTGACACATAATATTAATATTAATCGGTTCTAAAAATAAACATCAGACAGGCAGGCAATTTCCAACATGAGGGAACTACCGAAAAACAAAAGTGAGGTGTGCTCCGGGATTGCTCTGCAACTTTTGGCCATCACATATGACAACGGCGAGAACAGTGATATCGACGAAGAGCAAACTGCAAGCGCTCTTTGAGATTCGTACAATTTGAATCGGAACGTAATGAACATTAAACATGAAAGATTTTGGTATTGTTTATTGACAAAATCGAAAAATATTTAAAGTACATAAGCGATT